CCCTCCCCTCCTTCCCCGTCGCCCGCCCCGGGCAGGGCTCCAGGCGGAGAAGAGGCTGGGAAAGTCAATGTCTGCTTAAAATAGAGCCTGGGAAGGGGCCGCCTGGCTCCCTCCTGCCTGCCCGCACCGGCACCGCACCGGGAGAGGAGGGAGCCGAGCCCCGCTGGACCCCCGAGGGATGCCCGGGGCAGGGAACGTCTAGGGACAGGTCTGCTCCCACCTTAGAGCAAGGGGTAGAAGCACAGCCCTCCCCCGGGTTACAGCCAACATCTCACCCCGGCTCCTGCTTTTAACCTGAATTTCCAGAGCTGCTTTAAGGTAGCGAAAAAGATCCACAAATAAGCCATTCCTCCCTCTCCCAAACAACAACAAACTTACCCAATCTCCTTAACAGCCGGCAGCAGCACACGCAGTGGGGATTAGGGTGAAAACACCCATATTTATGAAGCGGCTGCATCCCAAGCTCTGCCTCTTGAGCCAAGCGCTCCGATGGCTCACTGCAAACTGCTGTGCCTGTTTGGATCTCACTAGTGGAGACAGGTCAACCCTTCAGCAGGGACAAAGGGGTAGAAGCACAGCCCTCCCCCGGGTTACAGCCAACATCTCACCCCGGCTCCTGCTTTTAACCTGAATTTCCAGAGCTGCTTTAAGGTAGTGAAAAGGATCCACAAATAAGCCATTCCTCCCTCTCCCAAACAACAACAAACTTACCCAATCTCCTTAACAGCCGGCAGCATAATTTAGTCTGGTTGGAAAAGAAAGGTGAGACCCTACCCTTGGGGCAGCTGCAGGGGCACAGAGCAGCCACAGCCACCTTGCTTGAAAGAATCCATATCCTCTCCACCACCTGCATTTCATGATGAGGAATGAAACACCAGAGTAACAGGATAATCCAAGCCCCCCCTTCTTCCAGCCGCCCCTGCCCCATCTCCAAAAGACACTGTCACAGCAGGACAGTGACAGAGATGACCTTCCCCTCGCTGACCACGAGCTGCTGAGAAGCTGCAAGAGCCGTGGGGCAAGATGGTGCCACCAGCGGGTTGTGGTGGCCCACCAAGAGGAGCTCCCCAGGACTACGCCGAGCTCTGGGGCAAAGCTGCCACGGGCCACAGCGAGTTCCAGACTCACATAACAGACCTTGACACCTTGGAGAACCCCCCACTGGTCCTGCTATAAGAAAGAATTATACAAAAAAAGACCAACAATATTTACCCGCAAGAAAAGCTAAGTACGTATATACAGCACAAACTCCAAAACACCCGCAGGCACGGGCAAGAAGGACCAACTGCCCACTATAAAGCTAATTACAAAAGGCTTCACTTTTATTCAGCCAGGGGCTCCAACACGACAGAGGAGTGCTGCTTGGCAGAACTAGCCCTCTAAAATTATATATATATTTTTTTAAAAAAGATTTTTAAATTGGCTGAAGTTATATAATTTTTTTTTTTTTAAAGCTAAGCTCTTAGACTACTCAGTCACACTTCCAAGGTTCTCTCTGCACAATTAAGGGTTGGAAATTCACATTTTCTCAAACGAAAAATAGAGGTTTTTGTTTTGTGGTTTCTGGGTTGACCAAACCAGCCTAAAACGCCCCGCAGTAGCAGAAGGGAAAGCGTTAAGGCAGCAGTGGCAGCTGCCCATGGTCTTCTGTTTCATGGTGTTCCAGTATTTACCAGCCCAAAAATGTTGTAACTGCCCTAAGAGGGTGCCAAGTTCAGGACCACGTAATTATTTACTTAGCAACTCTTCCTCATCACATAGCACAGCTGTGAACTGATAGCACACTGTGTTTAAATGTTAATAACTTCTGCAGATGTTGGCATTTAAAGAGCCTTTGTTGACCACTGCCATACCCACACGGCGAGCCTTCAGAAAGCACTAACACCGCGGGTGAACCCAGGCACCACCCGGAGCTCCTCTTATTTCCTCATTTTGGCAGAAAACCCCTCTTCTCCCCCAAAAGGCTGAGGAGACACAGAGGAGCCAGCCGTGCCCAGCCAGCCCACAGCCTGCCTGGGGGGGACCTCTAGTGGCCCAGCACCGCTCACCTCCCTCCCCAGTCCACACCAGTTCACATCTTTCTACTCTATTTGTATTTTGACTTTACCTCCTGGATTCTGTAACGTGGTACCGAGCACCTGACACTGCAACACACAACCCTCCAGGTACAGCTCTGGGGTGAGTAACGAAATAAAGCAGCACCGTATCAAAAGGTGTTCTGAGCCCCACAGCCGTGTGGAGGCTGCTGCCTGCAAGAGTTTGGGAATGGTAAAGAGTAATTAAATTAAAGAATTATTTGAGAAGTAAGGCCATTTTGCACTTCACAGCCCAGTATTGCAGACAGCAGTCACCAAACAATTGCCTTGACTTCAGAAATACATTTGCAGGAGAATCTTTGTCTCAATTTCTTCTCTGGACTTTACAGCCGAGAAAAGTTCAGGTACTGCAAATAGTAAAGACAAATCTAACTCATCTCCCCCTCAACAAATCATACAATTTTCTGGGATGCTCCTTTGCTATACACACATGTATAAAAGACAGATCGTGCTGAAGCACACTGAGTGTGGCAAACTGGCTGCTTCTGGAGAAGTAAATATCAGGAACAATGTAAAGCTCCACCTGTATTTTGGACCTGGGCGAAGCACCTACAGCAACAATGGCTTAGTAAAAAGACTGAAGGAGAAAGAAAATACAGTGCTCAAGATCTCCCTGCTGCACAGCTGACAACTGTTTACTCAAGTCTACGGATCTTAATACTTGAAGGGTTATACTTGGTGTTACAGAGAGGGCTGAACAAAGTGGAAAACACAGTGCAGGAATTAGACCACTGAAGGCTATTTTGGCCTTCCTAAAATATAAACTAAACAGGGCCCATCACCTCATTCCTCCTTTTAGTTAACTAGAAGCAGCCCCCCTGAAGAAAGCAGGGTATTTCTGCTGCTGCAGACAAGTCTCTAAGGCCTGGTGGACACTTGACAAGAATTTAGGCTTGCTTTACATTTTCCATTCAACAGCACAATAGAGATTATAATAACTTCTTGAAACAACCTTGCTTTGATTGTCCAAGTTTCTTGTCTGATGAGGCAGCTCAGCAAGCAAATATTATGTTAACCTACTGGCATCTGACTACTTTAACACCAAAGATGGGGCAGGAGGATGTCTGTTCATCCCATCAGAAAAGAAGCCTGGTTAGGCACAAAGAAAGAACAATGCCTCCAACCTGAGAGAAGACAACTCTTCTCTCCTGAATTTGCCTAGAGAGGTAGTAGTACCAAGGAGAGGACAGGAGATGGTTTGTCCACCTTAAATAATGAACATTAGCTAAGATGCAAAGAAGTGTTTTTATTGCAAGCACAGTGAGCAGGGAGCGGGTTGCATCTCACATGAATGTGACTGAGGGCAGATTTAAGCCATCCCCCTTCCGTTTTTAGTGCTCATTGCTGTCAGGTGTACATCATTTCCGCCATGTGAGACATTTTCTTTGGAATATACAAGTAATATTCCATGTATCCCGAAAGATCTTCAATAGTCACATCATCCACAAAGGCCCTGGCTTGCTCAGAGCAGGAGCGTGGAGAACTTGAGGGAGTTCTTGATGGCAAAGACTGGGAGTGATCCTCAGAAACTGTTCTATCAGGTGCCAACTGGAGGGTGTTCTGCAAGCCAGAGAATTTGTACACTTCCATATCTTGCCATCGTTTACACTGACAGGCTTTATCTGCACATGCACAGGGTTTGTTCGTGTTCAGCTTGCACATGGATTGGAAGTCAGAAAGCTCTGTAGTTTCTAGGCTGGTTTTGGATACTAGAGAAAGGGCAGCTGCAGAGTTCTCCTGTTTGTTCTCCAGCACTGACTGTGTAACAGAAGCTCCCAAAGACTCAACGTCAGCTCCCTTCTGGCCACCATCAGGAGCAATACTGCATCGTTCGTGTGCACAGGTTTCCTTTGGGACTGGCATCCCAAACCCACTGCTGTCATCTGGGGCATCGATCTGGCTTTTCTGCACTAGCTGGTTGCACATGGAATGTGGTTTTGTGCTGCAGTGAATAAACTTTGGAGGATGAAGAATTGGAGACTTGGAACGCCTGCGACGCTGGGTTCTCACAACTCCCCTTGAAGGCTTCTTCATAGACCTACCAGGGAAAGATACAAAAGGGAGTGAAGATTCACTAAAAGACTTATTGCTGGATTACAAATAACATTGGGCAAAATCTCTACTGCATTTATATTGCAAGCTCAGAGTATCTGCTCGGGGTATTCTGCTATCTTGGAATTGGACTTTGTTCTAGTCAAGCAGCTGTATTAAAGGAACACCAGAGAAATGAAACCAAAAGCGTGTGCTTTTAAGGTTAGAAAATGAGTAAAGCACGTGAGACATGACAAAATAAGCTCTAAGAGAAGGACAAAGCATAAGATGACAGCGCAAAACTAATGAATCAAGGTCAGAGGGTAGTTTTGTTTCAGTAGGAGATGAGCGCGAAGTTCTGCATAGACACTTCAGAAACAATTCTTTATTTCAATCTAGTTCCCAAGGCGTACTGACAGCTTCTGCAAAATCAGTTATTGAAAGAGATGTATTCGTGATTGTCTGATTCAAAAACAGCAGTTCACATTTAAATTAAGAAGTATCTATAGTGTTTGGAAACCTATAGTTGAACAGCATTTCCTTTCACTTCCTATAATTGTAAATAAGAATAGTAGTCACCTATGAACAGAAAAATGGGGTGTAGAGTATTTGAAACAGTCTCTTTAATAAAGAAAACTTTTTTCCCTTGTGTAGGGGTGTAGTTACGAGAAAACTTGCCTATTTAAAATTCCTTGTCAATGCAGTATCATTTAAATAGTCTGATAATCCCTAGCTTCTCTTACCCATGCCAGGTTTCCTTTGAAGTACACACGCTCTTAGATTTGGTTTCATCTGCTGCTGTTCTAACTAGTGTTCTTGGACTCGTCCCTTCACCCACAGAGAGAGAAGCAGTAGATCTGTGAAAGAGAAAAAAAAGTTTATCAGCCTATACTGATTAGCATTATGAATATGAAAAAGTTTATTAATCTTCTTTCCCAGAAGAGATTGCCAGGAATCATTTACAATACGTCTTAAAAACATGCCCACAAAGATGACTCGAATAAGAAAGATAGTGTTTACACATTCCTATCTCTAAAGTTTGTGTAACGGACTCTTTCACCAACGTGATGCCATTCAGCCACTCCACTGCCAATCCAACCCCCCACGCCAATGACAGAGCACACACAATGGCTAAACTGCAGTTTCCCGGGAGAGGGGAGGGGAAAAAACACCAGCACTGAAGAAACACGTCTCTTTTTCCAGAGACAAACAAGCCATTCTTTCCTAAAAATAAATGTTCTTTGGAGACAAACAGACTTTGTTTAACTGAAGAACACACAAGTCTCTGTCTAGGACAACATAAGCTAAAACTCCTCATACTGTTGCAAGCTCAATCACTTGAGCAACGGAGTTGTGTCAGTTCTTCAACTTCTATTTGAGCCAGGGACCTTCACAAGTCTCTGTCTAGGACAACATAAGCTAGAACTCCTCATACTGTTGCAAGCTCAATCGCTTGAGCAACAGAGTTGTGTCAGGTCTTCAACTTCTATTTGAGCCAGAAGATTTACTAATTTTTCTGCTGCTATAAATGCATCCCAAAGTCCCATTTTTGAGGAGCTGTGATAATCCCAAGAATACTTTTTCCAAGTTGTGACTTCACATACTACACTGAAATTCACAAGGAAATTATTTTCCAAATCCTATATGAAATTGGTTTGTAAGCCAGGCCGATTCCCTGAAAAGTGAAAATAAAAGTCCCCACACACTGTTCTAGGATAAGTTGAACCCCTATTAATTACCAGTTAAAGCATTAGTCAAACACCTGCTATTTTCCATTTAAAGAACAATGAACACCAAGCATTAAATTGAAGGTCAACAGTAAAAACTCCAAAGTAATTAGGTATGCCTGACCTGGGGGTGGGACTAATGATACTGAAGAAGTGAGAGACACTTGGGTGGTGGTATATTTCTAACAAGATTAATTACTTAAATGAAAGATAACTTTAGAAGCCCACTTTACCTAACTTCTACGATAATTCTAGTTACTATTTTGATATTTACATACTGCCTTACCTACACTTTCAGTTCAGTCATATGTAATATGTCCTAAGTAATGTAATGGTGCACATGTCAGCAGAAAAAACATTATATAGAAGCCTTTTTTTTTTTTCTTCATTTCAGACAAAAATGATTGTCACTAACAGAAGACACGCTGCTTGTGTTCTGCCACTTGCGACAGGGAGGATAAGTGCCACATGTCAGATCTCCCACAAAACAAGACAACAACAAAAAAGGATTCTTTCCCATTTAGTGATTTTGGTTATAAATAGGGAATTTGTTAAGTGACATCAATAAAAATAGTTCGTGTGGGAACCATGCAGTGAATCTAACGCTCTCCTTTACTGACATGGAAAGAACGTTCCTCTCAGGGGAAAAGAAGGGAGTTTATTCTCATGGCAGGCCTTCGGAGCCCCAACGATATGCTAATTTTGAGAGCAGAGTTGCAGGGCTACAGACATAACCTCTGGCAGCCAGATTCACGCCAAAATTCACTTCAAGCACGTTGTCAACCCCTGACTATGGTTAGATTTGTTTCAAGCCTACTCCTTTACTGACATGGAAAGAACGTTCCTCTCAGGGGAAAAGAAGGGAGTTTATTCTCATGGCAGGCCATCAGAGCCCCAAAAATATGCTAATTTTGATAGCAGAGTTGCAGTGCTACAGACATAACCTCTGGCAGCCAGATTCACGCCAAAATTCACTTCAAGCACGTTGTCAACCCCTGACTATGGTTAGATTTGTTTCAAGCCTGTTGGGACCTAACAAGGATCAAATAAATTACAATTCCTTCAGAAGTGCAGAATTCATTTCAGTTTGTTCAACTAGAAGGGAGGCTTTCAGTGCCTACCCTTTTGGAATTACTTCATTCCTTCAAATTTAGCCACAAGAGTGTTCCCTTTGAGTCCGTTTGTAATGTGTTAACTCCGTTCCTCCCTGTGGTGATACTCACCCAGCTGTGTCAACTCTTAGTTTTTTGAATGCTGTCTGCAGGCTTTCCTCTTCTCCATCCTTAGCTTCTGTTTTCATTATTGGGATGGCCAGAAGCTGCCAGAGTTACCACGTACTGCTACAAGCAGGAAAGAGACATGACTGTAAGAACCTTGTTAAAAACATTAGTTGCCCAGCAGCATCATAATACACGAAAATAAACTCAAAATAGCACACTGAGCACACAAAGCTGAGGTCATTCCAGTAGAACATTTTTGAAAGTTGATTCAGAACAAGCTTTATGATACCCAAGAACGGAACAAACAGTCTCTTCTACAACTGCATAGGTGAATTAGCAATTTAAAGTGAAATTTGGGGTCAACAGTGTCTTGCACATCCATTACAGCTTAGACAGACTCTTCTGTTGTTTTAAGAGTATTACCAGAATAACTTCAGAAGAGGTGAAAAGCAACAAGCACCACCATTAAAAACAGTCAACTTTCTACTACTATTTCCGACTTTGGAACTTGATGTTACATATATATTAAGAGGTGAAAAGCAACAAGCACCACCATTAGAAATAGTCAACTTTCTACTACTATTTCCGACTTGGGACTTGATGTTACATATATATTAAAAAACCAAACCAACAAACAAAAAAACCCCCAAAACATAACCAAAACAACAGATTTTCCCTAAAACAAGATAAAGTTTTAAGCTAAACAACATTTTTCGATCTGAGATAAAGTTTTAAGCTAAACAACATTTTTCAATCTTACGTCTAGATCCCAGCAAGAGTAACACACTCCTATCAGAACGTATTTTGATTGCAAATAGCTATTAAAATTTTCTGACACCACAAGAAGCTCTGCACAAGTACAAATAACAGTAGGAACGGTAAACAATAAGCCTTGTTTTAAATAAAAAAGGGATTGATAAAAGCTGGCTGATGTATTTCTTTAGAATCTACCCTGGGTATCATTTAATCTAGCTAAGAAGGAATCTCAAATCTTTCTAAATTTGATGCTCTTCAGTGCTGTACTTTCGGCAATCACTTGCACACCCTACACCGGCCCTGCTTCCGCTAAAAAGTACTTCATAAAGGTTTTCTTCCCTAGCACAGGCTTTGCTTTTGCTGAGCAGCAGCCACCAACAGTACCAAGTCTCAGTTCTCCACCAGAGTACCTCAAGCTCAGCATTTGTTGAAGTTGACCTGGCTGATTACCCTGCTTCATTTAGTGCTTTTGACTTCTCTACTTGGGAAAAACAGGGCTATTTGCTGTGGGTGCTATTACTGAGAGAGCCTTCGATTCCACTGTGTGGGTTGTGACAAGATCATCTTCTCAGTCTTTATTTTTAAATTACAAGGTTTTCATATTTGAGAACCTTCTACAATGAAATGACTGCTTTGGTAGACAAAGGGAGAGCACTGGATATTTTGACACTGTCTCCCCTAAGATGCTCATGGAGAAGCTGATGAAGCACAGACAGGATGTGCAGACAGCGAGGTGGACTGAAAAATGGCAGAACTGCTGTGCCCAGAGCGTTGTGATCAGTGCCATAAAATCAAGCTGGGGGTCAGTGACTAGTGGTGTATCCAATACTGGGTCCAGTCCTGTTTAATGTCTTCATTAATGATCTGGATGACAGGGCAGAGTGTACCTTCAAGAGATTTGCTGATGACACCAAACTGAGAGTGACTGATACACCAGAGCATCCTGCTGCCATCCAGAGGGACGTCGACAGGAAACCCCTTGAAAGGGGCCAACAGGAACCTCATGGACTTCAACAAGGGAAGTGTCCTGCCCCTGAGGAGGAACAAGCCCATGTGCCAGGGGACACATGCCGGGGACAACCAGCTGGAAAGCAGCTTTGCAGAAAATGGGTCCTAGGGGCCCTGGTAGACACCAAGGTATTCAAAAGCTGTCTGGACATGGTCTTGAGGAACTGGACTGGCTTGGGGTGGCCCTCCTTGAGCAGGGAGGTTGAACCTCCAGGGATCCCTGCCAACGTCAATTGTTCTGTGATTCTGTATCTTCCTCAAGCTTTAAAAAAACCACTAAGAAGGTGGTTTTTTAAACACAGCGAATGGTAATAGCTCCTGTAACAAGAACACACTTACACAGAGAACTAACTCCACCTAATACCACAGCAATAACACCTACGTTAGCGCTACTTCTACCAACTAAGCACCAGCTTTTTTTGTAGCGTGGAAAAGAAAAGATCTTGGTGAAGAGAGAGGAGTAATCAGAACCTGTGCAGCTCAGTTACTTATGCAGATACAGAGCGGTAATTTCTGTTCCCTCACAACCTCATTCCAGTTGGAGGAGGCAGCTCTCCCTGCTGTTGTTCCGGCTGCTCGCTGGGCTGTGATTTCATCCGGACACCCTGTGTTGCAGACAGCTATTATGATACAAGCAGAAGGATAATGTATCCCAACAACTTCAAGGCACACGTCGTCCGGTGAGTCAGCAAGTAAACACGAGAGGAGGAAGCTAACACACCGACTGACAACGCGATGCTCATCTGAGCAACTTATTATTTTAGATACTCTCTTAGTTAAATACTACTAATCTGGTGTAACATGCGGTCCCTACTTCTGAAAGTTTTTTTCCTTGACCCAAATGGAAAGTCCTTTAAGACTAAAAATTCAGCCTACAACCGTGTTGTTTTTTTTTAAAATACCAAACCTCTGTCTTATATAACCTTACTGAGAAAATGGTAGCAAAACATTTTAAATCACCACACAATATCCAAAACATACTACGAGTCTTAGACTAAATATTTTATCATGTTGGCCTTCATCGCTGACACAGTAAGCGCTCAAAAAGATGCAGAATTTATTCAGATAAAAGACCCACTCACTCTGTGGTAACTAAATACAAGCTTAAGCATTTTAGACGCACCAGCCAACTAGCACTGACATCAAGAAAAAAATAATTACAGTGAAAAACAAACAAACCACAGCCGACCGGATGTGACCCCCCGCCTCCACCGGAAGAGGCGGGAGCGTTGCCGCTGGCGCAGGCGCACGGGCGGGCATGCGCGGCGCCGCGGGGCGGTGACCTCACTTCCTGTTGTGCTCCGCGCGCCACCACTCCCCCCCC